AGGTTTCTGGTCATCTCCGCTATCACTTTCCAAGCGCACGTGGTCTTGAAAACTTTCTTCGCTTGAGCTGAAATCATAGTTAACTATGCCTTTGACTTTGTTTTTCTTGTCACTATGAATTTGGCCTGCAAGACTTCCTTCCTTAGCTTTCTTTGACTCGTTTGTTGCAGCTTTTGTTTTTGGTTTCAAGTCGTAGAGGCCCCAGTCATCATTTTCGATGTCTAAGGCGTCCTGTAAACATTCCTGGCTGGAATTATCTTCCGCTTCCAATTCATTATCAGATTCCACATTCTTGTTCAGCGGATCTTTGGCCTCATCTTTTTTCATCTGGAGAACGACATCTTCTAACTTGCTGGAAGAAGWACTCGGTTGAAGTACATACCTCTCTTSTCTGTGTTTTACTTCTGTCGTATTTTTTGCTATAAGACTTAAATTGCCTATTCTGCTACGAACCGACTTCACTCCTTCTCCTCAAGAAGCTCTTTCATATTTATTGGCAACTGTTGAATTCAAAAGCTCTTTATGACGAAMAAAATAGGTAATAACTTCGCGCCAATGATTTCCATGTTTCTCAACTGCTTTACGATAGAGCATTATTTCGGTTTCAGTTATCGAATCCTTTCTCGTAGTCATCACACGAGTTTGTCTCWTGCTTGATCCTTGAATGATAATGATAATACAAGAAACAATTAAAATTCACTACTTTGTGCAACCACGATGACTTAAAACAATTTCTTGTTTTTTTATTTTGTGGGAATAAAATCGACGACAAAAATGATTTCATACCTGCAATATCACGTTGCTTGACGCATTACTCTCCCTCATGAAGTGAAGCACGAGTGAATGTTTTTAAAGTTTTTGCCGCCCCTTACGCTTGAATAACTTGACCAATTAGTGCAATCGTAATTAGTCGATCTCGAAACATCTATTGTTTAGGAATCATTGATTTGCATGTACAAAAACATACTCTGTTTTTCAAAGTGAAAAACAATGGATACAGAAAAACTCCACTGGAACCATTAGAGGTGGCCATTGCCGACGTGTTTATACTAGCCATGACACAAAAAGAATGTGAAGAAGATGATCGCAAGATTCTATCGCTACCAACAAGATATGGAGGACTTGGTATCTCTAAACCTTGTTCTRATGCAAAATATGAATTTTCATCGTCAGTCAACGTCACTGCCCCACTTGTGGAGAAGATAATCTCCCAGTGGCATGAGATTCTTGACGAGACCGAAGTGAAAACAGCAAAACAGAAAAGCCACACTGAGAAAGAAAAAGCATCTWAAGATACATTTGAAAGCTTAAAAGAAAGTCTACCATAGGTAACAGTAAGACCCTTAGAATTAGCCGCAGAGAAAGGAGAATCAACCTGGTTAACGGTTATTCCTCTTAAGGAAATGGGGTTTGATTTAAACAGGAGAGAATTTAGAGATGCTCTACGGCTTCGCTACAACTGGTCTTTCAACGACATTCCATCAAAATGTGTATGTGGTGAAGACTTCTCTGTCGATCACGCAATGATTTGTAAACGAGGAGGGTTTATAATCCAACGTCATAACGAATTACGCGATCTGGAAGCTGAACTCCTCAACACAGTATGTAATGACGTCGTGATTGAGCCCATGCTACAGCCAACAACGGATATAAATCTAAGCAAACCCACGCWCGTGGGTTCTGGGAAAAGCAACGTTCTGCCTTCTTTGACGTAAGGGTTTGTCACCCAAATGCAGATACGTACAAGGATTTAGATCTACCCAAAATCTACAAGTTACATGAAGACGACAAGAAGCGCAAATACGCCGAACGAGTAAATGAAATCGAACATGGAACATTTACACWCCTTGTCTTTTGCACCACAGGAGGTATGAGTAAAGAATGCAGAACTTATTACAATTTTTATATAAGTTTGAAAGAAGGATCCGGCTGACTGCGTACCACCACAAGAAGAGGGAGSATCAAGACCAAGAAGATGGCCGTATAGAAGAAGACGTGGAGGAGTACTACCCAAAGGTACCTGGCCCTGGAAGGAACTGGAACCCGCCGAAGGAAAGCATCACGGAGATTGAAGTGTTTCGTTTCCTGGCAACCGTGAAACGATAACTTTTTAACCCTAMCAATTTGAGGATCGCCAAAGATAATCTGACCCAGGCAGAAAGATCTGCATTAAGGGAGATGAAAGCCGACAATGACAGGGTTATTAGAATACAAGATAAAGGATCAAGGTTTGTCATCATGGATAAGAACGATTACATTACCAAGATGGATAGACAGTTAAACAACCCACTACATTATCAAAGGTTAGAACAAGATCCTACTAACCTCCATTTAGACAAAGTTAAGACCTGGGCGTCTAAATGGTTGACTAGAAGACAAATCCCTGAGGATATTGCTGCTTGGGTTGTTAACGAAGAAGCGAAAGCTGGTACGGCATTTGGTAATGTAAAAACACATAAGAAAGATAACCCTGTTCGACTTATTACATCTTGCTGTGGCACAGCCAYTGAAAMTTTGTCRGCTTTCACAGAATTTTATTTGAAGCCTTTAGTTTCTGGACTGCCCTCATTTGTTAGAGACACTACTGATTTGTTAAATAGAATAGATAGATTAAAYAGATAACATTTATGATTATYTATGTTTTCCCACTAAGTACCATTATCAAAAATATCTAAGCTGCATTTTCCGCGCTATGTTTACTGGGCAGAGACGAATAAACCAGCCAACTTATGGAGTAAAATGGCTGTAGGCTGTGACCTACAGCCGTGTTTAATGAAATGATAATAAATTGTATTACAATATAAATTGATAAAAATTTTGATAAAGAAAACAATGATTACTGCCCAGTGAAGGTGAGGGCAAAATAAACATAGAAATGGAYAGGTGAAAGGGGAAGGTGGCGGGAAATTCAAAAACGTCCACGCTTCTTGAAGGTTAGCGAAGAATGACGCGTAAGTCTTTCACTCGTGACTCATTGACCAATGGCATGACATCAAKTGAATTCCCTTGGGGCCCAGTCACGTGTCCATGTCACGTTTACAAAGTATTACATAACYACCAGATTTCCAACAGGAAATCATAAACAGCGACAAAACATAAAAATTCTATTTGCCAGCAAATATTTCATTTATAAATAACTATGTTCACAGTTTTGGTTATTAGGGACCTTAAGAATGTCGACGAAATAGCACGACGACGACAAACGGAAAGTTATGACGTCAGATATTTTTCTATTGCGCATTTGCCTGGCGACGTCAACGTCGACCCAGTTGCAGTCGACAACCTCAAAACAGCGATTTTGCAGTCGAGTGGTGAACGTAAGTATTTTCTCGTTTTTTTCCTGCTTACTAAACATCCTTCAATGTACAAAGTATATGCTAGCAATAGATTAAAGATAATTGAAGAACATAGTCGAATATTTTTTATATGAATGATACATTTACATTTAATACATTTATTGTTTATTTTTTAATTTAATTTTAGTAGCTGTCAAAGCTGCATGATGGCCGAGAAACAAATCAAGCAGTAAGTTGTACAAAATTATGTTCTATTTCTAATTAATGCAGGGAACTCTTTTTTCTCCGAAATTAAAGTTTAAAACTTGAATTTCTTCATTTTTTGTAATTTTAGATTGAAGACTGCACGACATAAATCTATGCCGAGAAATACTAGTTCTGGAGCCGGCATTGTTGGAAAAAAA